GGGGGGGGGGGGGGGGGGCGACGGTGCCGGCCGCTGGGACTGGCGTGCGCGACGTCCCTTCGCCTTCGTTCTCGGCGTCGGCGCTGGCGTCTCCGTTGCCTTCCTCGACGGCTTCTTCTCCTTCTCTTGCTGACTCCCCTCATCCTCCTTTCTCTCCTTTCTCCCCTTTTACTAATGCTCAAGGTGACGAATCGGACGCTTCATTGATTGATGCTGCCCTGCGCAGCTTGGTTAACGATGCTAATTCCATCCAAGCTCACAACGCGGCCTTGCCTTTGGGAAGCGTGGTTCCTAACAGCGATATGGAAATGGAGATCGAATTCACCCAGGTTTCCAGGAAAAGAGCTATATCTCAGAATCACAACTCTAGTACTAAAGTTAAGGTCGTAGAAAATCCTGCGGCATCTAACCTCAATACTGTGAATCCGTCCCTCTCCAATAATCGGGTTAATAATCATGAAGCTAATGCTGTTGCTGCTTCATGCACCAAACAGGTATTGTCTTACAAAACTACATATGCATACTCTGACTCTGATTTGGGACCTTATGCGGTATATGTCTATTCTGACAAATCATCTGTCATACATTTTTCGGTACTGTCGGTAAAAATCGTTTCTGAAGTCGCCAGTACAGATATTATTAGCGTTAAAAGGCTGGGCAGTGGAAAAGCCATTGTAGAGGTTAGGACCGCTGCGGCAGCTAACAGTTTAACTACCAACAGTAACCTCGTCAAATATAACTTGCGTGCCTTCATTCCTGCATACAAGGTTCTCAGAACAGGCATTATTAAAGATGTAGATCAATCTCTTTCTCTGGATTGTATCAAAGATAACATTAAATCTTCAATCAGGATTTTAGACGTTCAGCGATTGAATCGCCGTATTGTGACTGACGGCTAAGCCAGTTATCTGCCTTCCAGAACTATTTGCATCAAGTTCGCAGGTCAATCTCTGCCCAGGGAAGTTGCCCTGTTTCATGTTTTATATCCAGTCGATCCTTATGTACCTAAGGCCAGAATTTGCTTCGTTTGCTACAGAGCAGGTCACATCGGCAAAGACTGCAAGAGCACCAAACCTAGATGCCTGTATTGTGGAGGGGATCATGATAGAGCAATTGTGTGCGAAGGTAAGCATCTACCTAAAAAATGCATCAATTGTGATGGCGAACATTTAGCCACGTCTTTTGACTGCCCGATCATCATGAAACATATTGAGGCTATTAAATTAGCTGCATATCATAACATCCCGCATGTGGAAGCTAAGAAGATTACTAACAACAAACACAACACCTCTAATCTATCTGTCAACCCGCATAGTTATCCTTATCTTCCTAGCTCGCAGCCACATTCATTTGCTTCACACAACAAATATTCTTTACTGGGATCTTCAAGTTCGAGTAATTCGGCGTCTACTTACCCACCGAGTTATGTGGCTGCGGTGACTTCGCCCCCGCTCCCATCTTTAAATACTTCAAGGCGCTTACAGAAATCGCAGGATGGCTAAAAAAAGAACCGTAAAAACGAGAGATTATTTCCGCCTGTACACGATAATTCTGCTCAAGATCCTTGCGATCCAATTTCTTCGTATCATGGACTCTCGGGCTCGAGCTCAGGTCCTGTGCAGATGCGGGTTTTGGCTCCGGCCCTGTTAATGCTCCTGTGCAAAGCATTTTTAATATGATTCTCTCATTCTTGAAAAAAATTAAGAATTTTTTTAATAATAACCCTTTTATTTCTTCTATTATTGATCCCTTAGCTGAGTGTATCAATGGTGTTGCCATGGTCATTAAGGGATTTAATTTGGATTGCATTTTCAATTTTATTGCCAACTTGAGTTCAACCTTTTCTAATGCCTTCGCTGGAACCGCAGAATGCTCGAATGAAATTCACTGCCAATAAACAACTTACCACTCAAGCTCTTAAGTTACTTCAATGGAACTGCCGTGGAATAAGGAGCAAATTACCTCAATTACAAGCCATCTCTGCTGACTTCGATATTATATGCTTACAAGAGTCGCTTTTACACAATTCATCCAATTTTACTTTAAGAGGATTTAACCTTATTCGTCAAGATATTACTGAGCCTGGCCAATGTGGCGTATGCGTTTTCGTCAGGAATAACTTAGTTTTTAATATTTTAGATCTATCCAACTCCATCTTCAATGACAATTCTGTGGAAATACTTGGTGTGGAACTGTTCTCCGAACGTGAGAGCATCTGTATCATCAGTATATATCGACACCCCAACTGCGACACGCCGATGCAATTTTATGACAGCCTTATGGGATATATTACTGCAAGAGGCAACTGCGTTTTGATGGGGGATTTCAACGCTCATCACTCTCATTGGGGATGCTCTACCTCGGATCGAGCGGGTAATCGCATTTTGGCAGCTTGTGAGAATGCCTCTATTTGCATACTTAGCGACCTTCGACCCTCGCTTCTTCTACCCCCTTCTTCGGGACATTCAGTCATCGATTTGATTCTGATTACTCCGAATATTGCACCTTTGTGCGAGGTTTCTACAGAGATTGATACTTGGAGTAGCGACCACTTCCCCATCAGGGTTGAGGTCGGTATTAATCCGTCTCAACGCAAGCGTTTTGCTTATAAATTAAACCTTAATAATCAGGAATTGAAGAACTTTGCTGTTGCTTTGGATGACTCTTTTGCTTCCTTTGCTAAAGATCTACCTCCGGACTCCCGTGAAGCTTACTCGAGTTTATCGGAACATAAGATAATTAAGACTGCGGTTTCATGTTCCTCTTGTCCCCATAAGAAAGCATCTCCTGGTACCGTAGTGATCAAAAGCGAAAAGGTTGCGCCGCCCTGGTGGTCAAATAAATGCCAGGAAGCTGTTGATGCCCGCAGAGAGGCTGCAAAGACTTGGCAAAGTAATCCGCTAGTTGAAAATTTTTATGCCTATAAGAGAGAGAGGGCTAAGTGCTCAAAAATCCTTTATAGAGAGAAGAGGAAGAGTTGGAGAACGTTTGTGGGTACTTTTAACTGCAAAACTCCTACCACTACACTATGGTCGCTGGTGAAGGCTTTTAAATGACGTAATCTCGCCATGCCAAACGATACTCATGACTACTCAAAAATTAAACAGCTTACTGAAGAGACTATTCTCAAAATCTGCCCTCCATCCTGTCTGCCTAATCCTCCTTCTGAGTTCGATATTATGAAAGAGGAGGATGAATTGAATGACCACGTTCTAAAGGAGCTTGAATCTCCAGTCACTATGGAACATTTGGACCTGGCTATTGCTTCGGTTAACAAGAAATCTGCTCCTGGCCTTGATAGAATTTCTAACAGCATGTTATCGCATTTACCGTTTGATTTCAAAGAACTTCTTGTGAATTTATTTAACCGCTTCTTGGAGGAAGGCGTCGTCCCTGAAGAGTGGAAGAGGTCACTGGTGATTTTCATACCCAAGCCTGGCGGCTCTGGAGTTAGACCTATCTCCTTACTTTCATGTGTACTTAAAGTCTTCGAGAAGATTATTTACTGGAGGCTCATGTGGCTTGTGGAATCTCAAGTAGTCTTACCAAACGAGCAAATGGGCTTTCGCCCTAACAGATCTTGCAATGACAGCTTGGTCACCTTTACGAATCAGATCTGCCTGGCTCTTTCAAATAATGCTTACACTGTTGCAGTTTTCTTGGACATTGCTGTAGCTTTCGACAACGTTTTACCTTCTGCGGTTTTGGAAGAACTCAAATCGTCTGGCGTTCCTGCCTCTATTAGAAAACTTGTGGAAAATCTTATCTCAGAGAGACATGTGCAGTTCTTAATGGATGGATCAATTGGGGAAGCGAAATTGTCGCGCAAAGGCACACCGCAGGGATCTACTCTTAGTCCTCTGCTCTTCAACATTGCTCTTTGCAAACTTAATGCATGCATAAATGGTAACGTTAACTTTCTACAATATGCTGATGACATCGTTCTATTTTCGTCCGACAGTTCCCCACTTACTGCTGCATCCAATATTCAAAAGGCCCTGTATGATATATCCGCGTTTTTAGAAGGCAAAGGCCTCACTCTCTCTCCATCGAAATCTAATTGGATGGTTTTTACTGCTGGCAGGCGCACACCTATCCCTGACTACTCTCTCTTCATAGATTCGAGCTTGATTCCCAGAGTCGATAAAGTTAGATTCTTGGGTGTGATTCTGGACCATCGCTTAATAGGCAATTATCATTATGAATATTTAGTCAAGAAGGATAAAGCATTGATCAACATTATCCTGTCACTCACTGCCGTTTGGTGGGGATCTCACCCACATTGCCTGCTCACTATTTACAGAGCTATTTTTAGAGCCGCCGTGGAATATGCATGCTCCATTTTTTCCTGGAAGGGCAATGCTAGAGTACTGCTACGCCTGGAAAGATTGCAATATAAAGCTATCAGAGCCTCAATGGGATACCGCATATCTACTCCGACCAATATTATTTTGTGCGAAGCAAGAGAACTGCCATTTAGACTCAGATTTAATCTGCTTAGTGAAAGATTTATTTTCAATCGCATGTCTTATAGTAACTCTTTGGTCATTAACAGTGTCATGATCCTGGAGTGTGGCCTGGCGTCACCTGCGAAGAGGGCATTTGCCCTTACCAAGTCTCCGTCTCTTAAGTGCTACATCGCTAACAAGCATGAAAAACTTCATATGCATCGCTCTTATTCTATTCCGGCTTTGGGAAGCAGCTTGAGTGCTTTTATGTATCGCAAGGACTTCGACAACTTTATTACCTATTCCAAGGAAGCCTGTAATAATGAAATTGTTCAAGTTTTTAGTGACCAACTACAGAATCTGCGAGAACTGGTCCCTGATGGGCTCTCATTTTACACCGATGGCTCAAAACTTGAAGATGGGAGTGTGGGTGCGGCCTTCTTCTCCCCGGAACTAAGGCATTGCTTCAAGTATAAACTGACCTCCAGCTCTTCTGTTTTTTCCGCGGAGGCCTGGGCCATATACCAGGCTCTGATCCTGTCTTTGGATGCAGGATACTCTACGGTTTTCATCTTTTCTGATTCGCGCAGCGTTCTGGAAGCCGTCGCATCACATAAACTAATTAATTCCAACTATATTATACGCAAAATCAAGGAAGCCCTACTTCAACTGGCAGAACGCAAAATTGTGTGTTCTCTCTTCTGGATCCCTTCTCACAAAGGCATTATGGGAAACGAGATAGCGGATAAAGCAGCCAAGGAGGCTTGCAAGGACGGTGCAAAGGGTTTTTCCGTACTCCCTTCCCGGATTTACAGATACAGGCTGTAGACAAGGTCCGAATTCGTTTCCAGGCCTATCTAAATGACAAAGCCTTATCCACGGGCACTCAATATCATTTGCTTTACAATCCGGCTCCTTCTGCGAAACCTTGGTACTACAAGTTTGCTTTAAACAGAAGCGAGATTGTTTTAATTAACAGACTGAGATCTAACCACTACAACCTGAATTATAGCCTGTTTAGAAAAAATATGGTACAGTCTCCTGCTTGCGTTTGTGGCGATCCTCGCCAGGATCTGAATCATATAGTGTTTTACTGCCCGCTGACTAGAATTAAAGCCAGATCTTTGGTACGTTATCTTAACAGAGCATTCCCTTCACACGCGCGTAATGCATTTCTTCCTCTTGCCAAACCTTCCCATAAACTCTGCAGACTTTTCTTGTCCTTCTTCAAATCCATCGGGATCTCCGTTTAATCGTAGTGCACTGGTGGGGAGGCGTATCGCCCTCCCCTCCCTGTCTCCCTCCGGCGTCCCCCCGAGAATTTGTTTCTCGGGGATCCGCCGGGGGGGCGGTGCGCGGCGTCCTTCTACGTCTGTTGCAGATTTGCCGCGTTAATTGCGCGGTCTTCATTCCAGTTCTTTTATGAGGACATCCTGTGGAAGGTTGGTGGTGTCCCTGGGATCAGACTGGCCACGATAATCCGGCTTGCTACGGAACCTGGGCCACTTAAATTTAGAAGAAGAAGAAGAAGAAGTATCATCTGGAGACACGGTAGTGTCTCGGCGCTAAGCCAAGCGCAGCGACACTGCCGTGCCTCCTTTACGCGAACAGGCGATTTTTAAGGGATGAGGTTATCAGATCTCAAAAACGGCTTAACTGATCAAGTTCTACATGCGCTCAATCGATAGCTACCACTTAAATTGTATAATAAAAGTGCTTTTATTTTTTCTCTACGTGCCTTACGAGCGGAGATATTGCGACGCAAAGTCCAAATCTGACACTTTTCATGTATTATATAAAATTAAGAAACGTCGTCAACAGGGCTACGGAGAGGGGATATGTCCTTTTGGAATTTTTGCCGCAAGAGGCAAATGTGGCGCTAGTTTTAAGTTATTACATATGACGCGCGCGCGGTTTAAATCTTATTATCTTATAATAAAATATTATTCAATATAATATAAAATATTTATTAATATTTAAGATACGTCATCAACGTCGCCGACCAGAGAAATGTCC